TCCGGGCGCACGGAAACCATGATGCGTAAAAAGACAATCGAAACGGGGGCGAAAGAGGCAAGGACCTCAAGACACGGCACGAGCTCAGATAAAAAGGACAAAACATCGGAAGAAAGACATGCAGGCAGCAGATTGGTATGGAAGGTACCGAAACAGGCTGGACTGAAGTTCAAGCTGCCCGGACCCGGAGGAAGCGCAGCGACAAGGGGGCGAGAGGCTGACCGAGTGGAGCGCAAGGGCAAGTCCAGATTCAAAGAATAGAAAAAACAACTTACTGTAAATCCTGCATCACAGGCTGCTGTGCGTGGTACCTCACGCCGTTGGTGTCAGGCATGGAGACGAGACCTCCGACTCGCTGACTATTGTCGTCTTCATCCGTTCCAAACCCTGTCACATGAGAGTTGATATAGTCACCCTCCGAAGTAACGGGATCGTTCAATGAGAATACCTCCAGAGAGAAGTGCTGGGGAATTCATAGGTTAGAGAGACAGGGAAGTATATGAGAAAGGAAAAAAAACGAAAAGAAAAAAGTGAAGAATGGAAACAATGTTGTATCAACCGCATGACAAAAAGAGCAGAAAATGGTAAAAGAGACAGCTTACAGGGATTCATCCTGAGCGTGCTGATGCCAGGTGCCTCGAGGACCCTGAAGTGTGTTTTTTTTTTTTGGGTTGATGTAACACTGAGCGAGACGCCAAAGCTGTCTGGGCCTTGAAGTCTTGGGTGGCAAGAACTGGATGTCTAGAATAGCATCAAAAAAAGTTAGGCAAGGTCGAAAGAACTCTGCAGAGGCAAATCCCCTCACAGTACTCGATTGATACCTCTGTCTGAATCACTCAGAATGCGTATGGGTTTTGAGCCTATGAAAAATCACAGGGAAACTCGCAATGACACTCTTAGATATAAACCAACACGATTCTGTGAGAAAGTTTGGAGAATGTAAGTGATCAAGCTCCAGGTGAAAGGGAGTAGACAAGTGATCAAGAGCAAAGAAGTATAAAAGAGGGTTTCAGGGTTATAAGGATGGGTGCGAGGTGTAATACATAGTATGCTCAGCCAACGGTGCGTAAAACGGTGCCCTTCTGGACAGGCGTTGGCAAGTAGATGAACGGGAACCCAAATGCGTCACTGGTTTATAGACATGGCTTCCTAATTGGGAAAACCTCCAACTGAAGTCAGAGATACAAAAGTACAGAAAGCAATAGATCGGGCCAGATTCTATATCTAAGAGGGGGGTGAAGAAAGAGTAAAGGAAGAGAGCCCAAAATCCAAAAAATACAGGAATAGTCATAAATACATAGTAATAAACAGCAAATAATAGCACTTAGAGCAAAATAAAAATAAAAATAAAACCGTCCAGAAGGGGCAAGAAAACTATGTAATCCGGTGTGACAGCCTTGAGCAAATAAATGCTCTTCCATCAAGTAATCTTGCAGATACAGAATGCTTCAAATTCTGCAACCCTATGGTGGTTAAGAATCAAATGAGAACAGATCTTCAATTTGTGTTGACAGGTTGCATGGGGGTATATGTGTGGCTTACCTGAAGGAAATAGAGGTGTTAAGATTAGATGTGGTACATAATCTTTACCGGAAGAGAAAGGTTGCAATTGATATCCGATGAAAGATTCCGGTCTATAATTTTGTCTATGTTGTAAAACCTGTTCTCAGGGTTATTACCTGCTTCTTGAGGATCATTATAAGTCCACAAGGCTCAGGCTAGTCGAGAGGCGACCATAAACCACGACTTGGCTGCCAGGGACAGTGAAATACGTATGGTGTATTCGGCAAGGCTTCAATGAGTTTGCATAGGGGTCCAACCATAATCGGTGAAAGGTACGGAGTAGATTTTCATTTAGAAAAGAAAATTATATTGCTTATTTTCTTTTGATTTGTATTTTGAGGTTCTGAATTTGGAATTTGGGTCCAAGCGCAAATCTAGGTGTGTATATCCACAAGAGCATCACATCATCACCGGTTCCAGATAGTTTGATTGTTTAAGGGGTATGGCTTTGGTTCATGTTGCGTGCTGGACCCGATATCCTGCACGGATCGTAAGGCATGGTACGTACACGTTGTAGATGTGTTTTCCTTTACAGATAATTCCCGATGGGATCAGATGCCCTAGTGCGAATACCCGACAGACGGGTCGCTGCAGGAGAGCGAAATAAAATGAAACTAGAAAGGATAGAGGAGGTGATCGACCCCCAGGGTATGTACCTATGCAGACCCATGACAGAGGTGATGTATCAGGCTTGGGGAATCCACCGACCAATGACAAAAAAACATGCGGAATTAATGAGAAATAATCAGATTGGGACTAAAAAACTTTGAACTGAAATTCCATAATGTTTTGTTGGAAGGCCTGTCGGAGTAGCTCCTGATTCATTTTTAGTTTGATCCTTGAAGGCTCGAGACACCAACGGTTCTTGCATGAAGAAAGTGGAAGATCATGCGATCGACGAATTCCATTCAGCATGTTGCATTTGTCCATGTTGGCGGTGTTCACACCGACCCGAGCAATAAAAATAGCACGTTCGAGACGATGCAACCTTCAGCTAGATCCACCCCACTCTGAAACTCTGTAAGGTTGGAGAGCCAAATAGCTCCCGGGTGCGAAAACGTATGGTTCTTTGCAGGATCTCCAGTCTCCACCAAGTGTAGCTGCAGGTATACAATTGCGGTCCGTACCCGGGAGCCTTTTCCAGAAATCGGCACTAGTCCCACCATTCCGAAGGAAATATCAAAAGATCCCCAGTGGGACCGTGATCGATCGGGTCGACAGAACCGCATTAGTGGCTAAAAAAGATCGACCATCCTGCAGAAGGGCTGGGTTGAGATGACAAGTGTAAAAGCACCCGCAAGCTTATGATTGGTGGGATAAGCCGTAGATTCGATTTGCTCAGTGGTTATGGTATGTTGTGCAGTTCGCCCCCACAGTCCACAACCATGCTTACCGTAATCGGTATTAGGTGCATTAATTAGTTAGCCATATCAGGTTAAAGAGTGTAAAAGAGTGTAATCAATCCTGACGTCAAATCACATAGTCAAAGTTACCTAAGTAAAGGAGAAGAGGCGACATTCTTTTTTTTTTTTTTGACTCTCGGGGGCACCCCTTCCCGGATGACGGTCATGGGACACGTGCAGGAAGGGCGGTGAACTGGAAATTTACAGGTACCAGGTACATCAGTGTGCAATATTCAATTGGAGGATAGAACATGTACAATATACTGTATGTGTCTGCCTATAGGGCCTTGGGTATATCTTCACATCGCTCAAATCTATATACTCCGTCTGTCACTAACGTTCCTTCAACATTTCAAGGTTAGGCGACTAACTCTAATTGAAATCAAATCTCAAATCATTGCAACTAATGCACCCAAGACACACTATCAGATTAATTCTCGTCTTCACATGTCACTTTTCGACATATCAACTTTGCTTTCTTAGATACGGAGTACTCCTCCGTACAACACTATGAGATACAGAATACTCGAAAATTGTCCGATACGTGGGTACCAGGGCTGCAGGTACCTCGAAGCCAATGCCGATAATAATTTGACTGTGGGAAAATGCAGATTTTTTCGACATGGATTAGCCCCAGAGCCCTAGCAGCCGGAAAACTCTGAGGTTGCAACTGTCTCAGCCCATCTGTCTCTTTGGACCCTGTCTCTGTCTCGGGCACGTGCCATCTACCGAGTCTGTCTCTTAACCTCTCGACATCTATTCCCATGCAACAATTCTTCAGTGACAGAGCCGGCCAATGCCATTACATCCGGGTGTTCGATCTTTGGGCGCAAAGCTACAGCTCGGCCAGGCAACGGTAGACGAGCCATAATCGGATCCCGGAGTCGGCATTGCTGACTTAACCGCGTTAATGGAGTACGACTTTTAGATCAACAGCAGAAAATTCAACCCCTCCCCCCAAAAAGATGATTGGCCGACAATCTAAACATGGGTACAGATTCAGAGTGTCATTCTAGACTGATATCCCCTTGTCTTGCTGCCTCAGCCCCCATATGCTTGTTGCTCCAGGATCTTAGGATGCGACACGCCCGATGAACCCATATGCCATGGTCGATACGCCAATCCTGGTCGATTGGGTCTAGAGTTCAAAACCTTGTATATCGGGGAAGATGTTCCCTACCAAGTAAGGAAAGAGTTAGACGACATCTATACAATACCGTGAGGCTTTTCTGCTTTTCTGCTTTTCTTTTCTGCCTTGCTGAGGTAGATTAAAGTTTGACTTTACCAACGGTCGAGGCCTCCAGAGCTTCCATCCCGAGACATCCACCGGCTTGACCGGGGCAGAGAATTGGTCTAATTTACCATCTTGTATCATGTCAACACTACAAGATTCAGCTAGCACATCTATTCTGGTAATGGTACCATTTTGAAACGAATTTTCCCCGGCCTTTCGTCTATGGAGATTAAGCAGCCCAGGCTTCTATGGCTCCATAATTCCACTGGGTCGTCTGGACACAAGGTTCCTGTGATGGGTTACCTGTGTATCATTTCTTCCGAGATGGTTACTTTGAAAGTAGACCCGAGTTCTGATAGCCCACTACAATGAGCTTTAAATGCCTTGTGGAAAATTGGATTATTTCTCCTTGTCAGCAAAAAGTTTGCCCCCGAGACTGGGATGATCATTGGAAGTTTCCCCACTCTGTCATCCCAAACTTTGATCACCCTGGATCTACAGCCCGCCAGCACAGATCGTATCACGACCACGAAGCTCCCGGGTAAAAAGGTTTCAAATGAAGTATCCGACCCTGTCGACATGGATGGAAAGACAAGGCATCAACCGAACAAGGGTTAAATGGAAAGAAGAATGTCTCATTGGCTTGCCGCCCTCCAAAATTCTGGATATGAAGCGTGTCAGGCAGGAAATATGCTTTGGATGGCGCGTTGGATGCAGACCAGTTGAAGACTCCACTCATCATCCAGCAACTCATCCGGCCGTTTTTTTTTTTTGCCTCCCCGTGGCAATTCTAACCAGCCCTTGACTACCATCCTGGGAGTAGATCAGCCAACCCTAAGCCGTGCCCATGTAGCACGGAGGAACAGCTCAAGAAAAAACTTGCTCATCAGCCGAAACTCTCCCAGCGAAGAACTGCCCTTCTGGTCGAATTCCCTGAGCTAATAACAAGTGGGATGATGTTGTTTAGCGCCGATATTTCCTGTCACTGGGACCTTGGAGCGTCATGAACGCCCTTTCACATGTATTTTGGCTGTCATATTGGATGCCGCGGTTGCGGAGGGAATGCTAAAAGTATGGTGGCGTGGTGAGGGTTTCCGAGGGAGCTAGGGCCAAAGCTACAGGGAATATTTCGGCCCCTCCGCCATTGTCTGCGTAGCCCGTATCGTCTAGTAGGGGAGCATTCGGCGGAAAGCCGGGCCGGTAGGTAAGCTTTCCCCGCCAATTCAAGTCTCTTTCCTAAAAGAAACACGGATGCTACGTTATGCAACCCAATCCCGTTACCGGGAAATTTCAAGACAACTTTTGCCGACGAGGCTGGGTCTGTGTTTGACTTTGCTGAGATCTAATATCGATCTGTACATTGGTACTTTGGTGATTGAGCCTGGGATCTGGCACCCGAGGGCGTAACTAGTACGCGGTAGTGTTGGTACTAGGGCATAATAGGAAAACGTCCAAGTTGCCGGAGCTCCATTTCCTTCCGATGTCATCTCCACTGTCATGCGAAGATGCAGAAAGTTTGATGTCCCAATTGAAATCCCTGAAGCCTTCGGAGAATCGAACAGTCGAGACCTGCAACATTTATCTTCCATATGACGGTTTCGCCGTCAACGGCGTGCAGGGTTGTTGTCAGTGGAGTCCGGCACCTGAGCACCATATTTGTGCTGGCTAGGAGGGTGGGAAGATGTGGATTTGTGAAGCCTGAAGTCAGCAGCGAGGGAAAGCTTGTAAAGAGCGGACTTGCCCTCGGTGGCCATGGATTAGCATCCACTGCTACCATGTTAGGAGCCTGAGACAACTAGAGCCTTTTACCAGGGGTTTGAGCATTAACATGTCTAGTGACCACTGAAACGCAGTTGAATCCAACGATGATCATCATCCCCATGCACGTCGAAAAACAGAATGAAATGCTGGATGGTGAACTATCTTAGTAGGCTCGCCCATAGATGTTTTAGGGCGTCCTTACTTCATAGTAGCACGTGGTTGGGTTTCCATGGGTGATTCCAAGGTTGAGATGTTCCATGGTGGCCGTGAAGCAAATATAGAACAGTTGCTTCGAGAAGAACATTGGAAGGATTATCATGAACGCAAAAAAAACACTGCTACCGTGGATGAAGGAGTACGACTCGTGAAACAAGTAAGAAAACCGTGTGTGAAGTTCAAAATTTCTCTATCCCATTGCTTTTGTATAGACTGACGAATGCAAGTAACTGACATGCTGGATGTCTTTTTCGGGAATCATCATTATCAACCATGTCCTACAGTACAAGGAAAAGAGCTTCGGCCTAAATATGGGCCCGCCTGGAGAAGAAGGAAAAGTTCCATTCAAAAAGTCGTAAGAGAGAAACCGAGAAAAAGTTTAAGTAGTGCGCTTGGCGAACTCGACGCGGAGAATAAGGTGGCGGTAACCGACTAGCAGAAAAACAGGTTAGCAATCGATAAACTTGTAGAAAGAAGACCACAAAACGGAATATCGAAGACATACAGCCATCCACCTTCTCGCAAGCAGGAGTGGCGCGCGACGATCCGCATAGCTGATGAAAGCAAAGCCCTTGGCTCTCTGGGTTTCCCGATCCCGATGCGAGGAAGACTCTGGTGACACGACCGAAACGTTCGAAGAGATCCCGCAACTCGTTTTCCCTCTGCCAACTCGCTGACCTGTTTGTGAAAAAAAAAAATCAGTACCAAACCGAGATAAACAACAACGATGTTCGTAAAGCTCGTAGAAAGCGGAACAAGGGGCAGAACGTACGTTTGTAACTCTCAGAGTCGCCAAATCGTCCTTCTCGAAGCGACCACCCATCTTCTCGCCGCCACCAGCACCGCCCTTCCGCAGTGAGGAGGAACGTAGCTGGACTTTCCAGCACCGAGACCACCCGCATCGTCCTCTGCCTCGGCGCCACCAGGAGCAGCAGTGCCCTCCTCGACGGGGGCCATGGTATCCTTGAAGGGACAGCGGGCCGTGAAATGCTCTCCACTGCAAATACGACACTTGACCTTCTTGTCCTTCAGCTGGTCCTTCATGCTGCCCTTCTCGCCACCCTCCTTCTCAGCCTCCTTAGCGTTGGCCTTCCAGTTGACGCTGGGACGGAAGACGATGTTCTCGCCGACGGAAGTGGTATCGAACGTGGGACCGGCGGGGTGGCCCTTCTCGAGACCGAATTTGTCCCATTTGCGGCGTTCGGCGACCTGGGGGTTGACGTGTTCGCGGACAATAGTGGTCTTAATTCGGCGAGTGACCTTCACTTTCTTGTTGTCATCATTGTAGCGGTAGGAGATGACAGTCTTGGTGCCGTCCTTGTTCGCGATCACTTCTTGCGGCGGGAGCACAAGGAGGGGTCATCGAAATCTTCGTCGTCGGCCCAGTCGGCGCGGCTGAAAATTGAAAGTTTTGTTAGATCGTTATTTTTGTAGGGGGGTGCAAATGTGTATACTCACTTTCCGGTTGGAGACATGGTGTAAGTGATGGTGTTATTACGGCTACTGAATTTCTGGATTTCTTTCAAAGGCGAATCCGTTGTGGATTTAATAATTTCCTGTGGCGCAGTTGTGGCTGATGCTGAAAATCACGTGGTGCGGTGTGTATAGCCCCGAAAGTGTTCCAAGGCTTCAACCTCGTTTCAACACACCGATGGAGTAAACATCTCTTTTCTCCCTCGTGATAAGCGTGATGGTATTCAGCGAGTTCCGAATCTTGGAATTATCAACGGTAAAAGTACCGTTTCCAGACATAGTTAACGTCGAGGGTCCCGAGAAGATTTCTTTCAAACCAAAGCGAATATTTGTAGTGGACAGGGTAGTGGCTCGCCCTGGTCTCGTGCTTCACCTCGTGGAGTGACGAAGGCAGGATTAGAAATTTGGTTTTATTTGCAAATTTTGGCAATGTTGACGCGCAATTTCTTCACGTATATCCCTTGAGTCTTTCCTACCATACTTTCTAGTACTCACGTTTTTGCTAAAGAACATGTATTCATTTCAGCTTCCTTATATATAAGATGTCGATATAGCGAAAAGTTCATGGAATTACGAAACAGATTTACTAGGCCAAAACCCTCCTCAAAACCACTCCGATCACCACTAGATCAAAAGCCCATCAAAGCCTTCTCGGTCCAATCCCACAATCTCTCCGCAAGCGCCCTCATCCTTCGCTGTCTCATCAAGCTTCCCATCCTCCAATTTCCCAACAGGCTCATAATACCCTCCATTCCGAATCTGCGCCTTGTCCACAGTAGCCACCCAAGTCTGATTAAATGCACCCTCATGCGCCTTGATAATCACCCACCAAGTAGTCCCATAAACAATCATCCTATCTTTAAGGCTAAGATCATTAACAAGACTCGTTCTCGCAACACCAGGATGTACCGACACCGATGTGATAGCCGGAAACCTCTTCGCGAGCTCGCGCATACAGCAAATTGGCCAGCTTACTCTGCCCATACCGCCGCCACGGCCCGCCGAACGCAATATCCTGTGTCGTCTTGGGCTTATCGAAGATGATTCCGCCGCGCGGGTGCAGCCCCACCCTTGCGAGGTGAGGATCACGAGGCGTGGGTTGCGGGAGGCTTCCAGGAGGGGCAGGAACTTTTGATCAGCAGTGCGTGGCCGAGGTGGTTGGTGCCGAATTGGACCTCGTAGCCATCTACCGTTAGACCAGGGGGGTTGGCCATGGTCCCCGCGTTGCACATTGGGATGTCTAGGGTTTGGTGTTGGCTAGTGAAGTGCTCAGCGGCTCCTTTGACGGAGGTCAGGGAGGCTAGGTCACATTTTATGAATGTCACTGCGAGATCGGGGTTGGTTCCGTGGATTTGTTTGATCACTTTTTCTGCGCTCGTGGCATTACGGCCGCTGAGGTAGATGTGTGATGGGTTGTGCTTGGCGAGGTGGATCGCCGATTCTGCGCCTAGACCGCCGGTTCCTAGACTGGTTGTTAGTTGTGGACTTGGAGAAAGCAAAAGTATTAATTTCAAACCTCCTGTTATAAAGATAGACTTTCCCGTGAGATCAGGGATATCATTTTCAGGGTTATAATCGGAAGGCATGGTTGAGATACAAAATTAGGGCTAGATGTGTCACACGCAATATTGGGTTTGAAATATGCTGAACTTGCTCGGAATGAGGAATTATAATTTCAAAAAGAGAAGCAATGAGGTTTTCTCTGCCTTTTATATCTGGGAAGTGCACGTTTCCCATAAGCAAGAGGCCAAAGGGTGCTCGAGGTCAGTATATAAATTGCCCGATTATGAAGTATAGTTCCAGCGTATGGCCCCACATGTGGCTTGTCCAACCAATGAAAACCAAGATTTTCCGAGCTCTCCAATGCCATCTAGCCATTCTATAATCATTCATCACATCACCTGCCAGAACGGCTTGATATTGTATCGAAGAACAAGCGGTGACTTTTTTTGAATTGCTCCGAGTCCGACGGTGAAGGTTTTACCAATGGAGTAGAGAGGTATCGAACGCTATACATGTATATTTTAAACCGTTTTGCCAGCTAGCCGTGCCAAGCGCCCGCCCTGGACGGGCCTTGGGCATCTCCTAGTTGCCATGGACGGGCGATGCCGTAGTCTAAGAATGCACTCTTTGGTCAAAGAACTGGCTGGTAACATACACTCCCCTCTACTATAAATATATATTTCTAATAGTTTAGAGTTAATAAAACCTTGAATTAGCATAACACTACTATAAAAGAACAAATATTAATTTTCATCCGTAATTAATAGAATATAAAGGCTATTAGCGCTAAATTCATCATATTTTCATAGATTTTCTAATTTATTATAGTGATAATATCTAAATTTTAGGACATGAAGCAGAATAGTTATAAAAAACAGTTATTTATTTTGATTGACTTGGGGACTTTATAAACGCTAAGACTATTTTTTTTATGCAATCGTGGGCTTTCGTGGGGGCCTAATAGGGGCCGCCGATAGGCCGGGGGTTAGGCTTTTAGGCCTAAAGGTTTGGCCCCTGTCCACTGTGGGCTGGGCTTTGCGGAAGCCTATTCGGCATCATTACCCTTATTGGTTAGGAGTGATCCGCTAAAATCGAGAAGAGAAAGGCTGCCGTGGATCCTTTTCCTTTAGAGCCGGCGATATGGATGGCATTTAACGCGGGCTAGCCCGTTGTCCCTTGATTAATATCTCTATTCAGTAGTCAGGGCGATACACGTTTCACCTGATACCCGATCTCACTGCACCAGCTTATCATCTACTCTATGAGTAAGTTCTGGTCTTTGAATGAAATCGTCTGTTGTTTTTGATTCGAAATGGGTGCGTAGGCGGTTCAGTCGATGAAGTGTCCACCTGGTCATCTGTTAGTTAGCACTTAACTCAGTCAAAGCGGCTTGGGACCCCCACCTGATAGAATGGATTGGATGGTGTTCGATTCTCCCATGTTGATGGACGCGGGTTTACCGAAGATGGCGATTCTGGTTCAAGGCTAGACGATGTGAAAAAGCCAGACGTTTGAAAACAAGTCGCAAGTCATGCAAGCGAGAAAAAGGAACGAACCCGTGAAATGTGGGTGCACTTTTCGATCGACGATGCAGCCACGACACATGATTTCATCACCGCCGTCGGTCGATCTGAAATTCGATACTTTCAGACTTTTTTGGGAGTAGATTGGCACTTGCAGGCTCCAATCATGACCTTCTTCGGGAGGCAGATTAACAGTCTAGCTGAAATTGGCATGCTTCTTCGCACTCTGGGCGATTGAGGGGGTTCAGCTCGTCAGCCATGTACGGAGTAGGGTAAACAAGTCTTTTTTCCTGGTGGGTGATTATTCGATCAAAGTCAATAGCCGATGGCTCACTAATTATCCAGTGGGTCATTGGAAGATGTCTCAAACAATTTCACTAGTGTGAAGACGTGGCATGCCGGAATAAAACTAAGAAGAGATAGAATGATAAAATACTACGCGCAGGAGCTGCGAGGGTTGGCCAAAAAGGTACCTGGGGGCTCCAAGGGTCACCATGATGGAGTTTGCGTCCATTCTCCTGCAATTTCTTCATCGATCTCTTCTTAGACCCATTCATCTTTATTGGAAGAGGAGCAAGACTATGCCGAGGCTCAGAAGCTCAGGGTCTACCAGTCACAGTTGCTATGCTCTTGGTACAGAAGTTAAAGTGAAGACTATAGTCCTGGGCCTTTGGCAACGAACCTGAACCGAGATTCCATGGTATGTGACAGGGATTAGGGAGATGACGGAGAGTAATTCCAGACCCTCAGCTCAAACGGTGGAGTGTGAAGATACAGATATCATCGGTGAATCTCATATGTGGAGACCCTGCACTATGTTGTAGATCAGATCATCTTGATGACGATCTGCAGAGCCACACACATTCCTTAGAGGCCCACATGCAGGCTATGTGTGGGTCTTGACATGATTTTTCACTCTTTAAATATGTTTTTCGGTAGCATTGATCTTTAGATGTCCTTAGCGTGGATAGCATATTGTGAAATACTATTGTGAATGCGAACTGGAATACTACACACGACCTTAGGCCGTGGTTTTGGATTCATTGTTGTCCTGACCAGCGATATCCACTGAGAGCCGAGGTAAAAGGATTTAAGGGCGATAATTTAATAAATATTATACTGGCCATAGGCCAAGAATTTTGTTCAATAAACCACCTAGGATCGACGAAGAGCATGAATTATCGACAATGCTTGCCTGAAGAGATCGCAAAGGGAGCGGAGTCCACCCGTAGATCTCAGATGATCGTCCTAGAAAATGATGTATGATCACTCTGTTTGACCCCTGTATGCATAGGTAAGTGAGTTACTCCCAATTCCGTCATTCAGGGTGTGATCGATTGCTGTTGATTACTAGCGGTATGATTAACGAAGAAAGCGTTGAGACCATTAATTATGTAGTAGGCAAAGGATTTTTTACTGTTCTGAGTATCCCTGACACCAAAGCGCGAAGCTATCCCCACCTTTAGCGAAGTGACTGAACTTCTCCATTTGCGAAACCGTGGTCTTCTGGCTGAGAAATTTGATAGTGGAACGATATTCAGCTGAAAAGGCCATAGTTATGGAGATCAGACCTGGTTGGAACGTCCCTCCACAGGTTCCCGTAAGATTTGTCCAGGTCTAATTGGAACTAACTCATGAGGCCCATTTAACCAATTTAAATCAGAGGAAGTAGTATTGTGGACATGGCAGGCTGGATATCAGATATATTGACAATCATCAGAAATATCTCAGCTTATGCTCATTGAAAACTCATGGTCCACTAAATTAATAAAATTCAATCTTTGACGTCACTATATCTCTAACTCAAACTTATAAATGTCCATCGCCGTTCTCTTTGTTATATACCTCTCTGACATAAAATCTTGTAAAACTATCTTCAATTATGCGTTTGACAAACTTCCTCTGCCTGCTTGGCGTCCCATTCGCCACTGCCATTGTCCCATACGCGGCTGCGACGAATATCCCACAAACGCCCTCGGTACTGTTATGCCATCCTAGGTCGACCTGAGCACATTGCGAATTATAAAGCACACCGACTGGGGATTGCCAAAAGCCACTACGAGCTTGCGGGAGGATATAGCTGTTGCTGTGGCTGTCC